AAGGTTGAAACAACTGAGAAGAATGATATTTTATTGCAAATAAAAAAATTTCAAGTAGGGTTACAAGAGGAGGTTTGAAAAAAATTGACTGAGTTTGGCTGGTGTCTGGGCTTGAGCAATCATGACTTTAAGAAACGAAGCTTGGCATCCTCCTAGTCGTCTGATCAGTACCGCTTCAAGTAATTTCTTGACTTCTATAGAAGGTGATAGGGCTTCTAGGTTGTCCGTTCGTCTTGCTTTAACGCCTTTGTTTTTTTTTTGCGCTTAAGCATAGAACTTCTTAATGGCATCAGAGTTTACTGGGTAAGTGAGTTCTTCACCATCCATGTTAGTGAGGATCAATGCTCCTCTAGAAAAGGCTCGCTTGACCACGTATGGGCCTTCATAGTTTGGTGCCCATTTCCCTATCTTATCCTTCTGTACTGGTAGAAGTTTCCTGAGTACTAGATCCCCCTCTTCAAATGGTCGTGGTTGGACTCTCTTGTCGAAGGCTCTCTTGATTCTCCTTTGATATGTTTGCCCGTGACAAATAGCGTCTAACCTTTTCTCTTCTATGAGATTTAATTGGTCAAATCTGGTTCGAACCCATTCGGTTTCTGGGAGCTTTGCCTCCGTGAGTAATCTCAAAGAAGGAATTTCCACTTCAATAGGCAAGACTGCCTCCATCCCATATACTAAGGAAAAAGGGGTGGCGCCCGTCGATGTGCGAACGGATGTTCTGTACCCATGCAATGTGTAAGGTAGCATTTCATGCCAATCTTTATATGTAACGACCATTTTTTGAACGATCTTCTTGATATTCTTATTGGCTGCCTCAACTGCCCCATTCATTTTTGGCCTATAAGGGGAGAAGTTATGATGTTGAATCTTGAAAGAGTCATATAATTCAGTCATCATCTTGTTGTTGAGGTTGGACCCATTGTCCGTTATAATTTTGTCAGGTATTCCATAACGACATATTATGTTTTTTCTGACAAAATTGACTACCACTTTACGAGTTACATGTGCGTATGACGTGGCTTCAACCCATTTGGTGAAGTAATCAACAACCACAAGAATGAATCTATGTCCATTTGAGGCTTTGGGTTCAATGGGTCTAATGACATCCATGCCCCACATCGAGAAAGGCCAGGGCGAGGCCATTACATTGATCTCACTTGGTGGGACTTGGATATTATCAATGTATATTTGCATTTGTGGCACTTCCTAGCATACGAGATGCAATCCTTCTCCATAGTGGACCAAAAGTATCCTGCCCTCATGATCTTTCTGGCCATGACCTGTCCAGCTATATGGGTACCGAAGGTTCCTTCGTGGACTTCCTTCATTAACGATCGAGACTCCTTCTGACCAATACATCTTAACAGGATGGAATCAAAACTCTTCTTGTACAGGATGTTCTCATGTAGTACGAATCCGATAGCCCTTCGTCTGATTGTTTTCTTGTCGTTGTCAGATGCCCCGACTGGGTATTTCCCTTCTTTGATGTATTGATGGATGTCAAAATACCAAGGATGGCCATCTTCCTTTTCCTCCAGTGTGCAACAATGAGCTTGTGTCTCATGTCGT